CATTTTTAGTTCAAATAAATTCAATTCTGAGTGCACCTGATTCTTGGGTGGGGAGGGGAGGGGAGGGGGCGTGGTCCATGGGAAATAGTCCTGGCACCACAGCTGGAAAAAATCATAGGAAACACTGCATACATTTAATAAAATTAGAAAAATGACATTACAAAGGTAAAAAGAAAATACCCCTGTAAGTCACTTTAAGGAGTCAAATGTCACCTCATATTAGGAAGGCACATTTTTTATCAGAATGTTTTATTATTGATCAGAAGGTGCTCCTAAATTTTTTTTAATTAGGAGGACAAGCGCTCAATTTACCTACAAGCCACTTTTGTGTTCTTCTGTGCCACCTCTGTAGTACAAATAAATGTTTATTTATTTATTTTTTTCTATTTGTCTTATTCTACTTATGTTGTTTTAAATATAAATTTTAAAAAGCTTATACATTTTTGAATTTGACATAGATGAAAATGATGCCATTACAAAGGTAAAAAGAAAATACCCCTGTAAGTCACTTTAAGGAGTCAAATGTCACCTCATATTAGGAAGGATCATTTTTTATCAGAATTTGATTATTGATCAGAAGGGGCTCCTACATTTTTTTAAATTAGGAGGACAAGAGCTCCTAAAAAGAAAAGTAAGCATAGAGCCGTGTGTAACAGTATATTAGATCCGTGCATGAGGTCTTAAAGAGACAGCAGCCTAAATAAACCTCTTGCTGCCTTTCATTATACAGTGAAGACTAACCAGTGTTATTTTACAGTTGAATAGATTATAGTTAGACCTAACTGAACAAATTAAAGTACTGTTAATTTAATTTGTATCTTGTTTTTGTTTGTGCTATTGATTGTCATTAATTTTTGTTCTTTTATTATTTACTTGTCTTTTTTAGTTAAATTCAATTCTGAGTGCACCTGATTCTTGGGTGGGGAGGGGAGGGGAGGGGGCGTGGTCCATGGGAAATAGTCCTGGCACCACAGCTGGAAAAAATCATAGGAAACACTGCATACATTTAATAAAATTAGAAAAATGACATTACAAAGGTAAAAAGAAAATACCCCTGTAAGTCACTTTAAGGAGTCAAATGTCACCTCATATTAGGAAGGCACATTTTTTATCAGAATGTTTTATTATTGATCAGAAGGTGCTCCTAAATTTTTTTTAATTAGGAGGACAAGCGCTCCTAATTACAAGAAAAAACTGTTCTTAAACTGGGTGTGTGACAGGTATGGCTGTGGAAAAATTGTCAAAAGATATATTTTTTGTTGCTTTAACCCCTGTTCCTAAGATGAGATGCCCTGATTATAACTTTTTATATTATAATTTTTTTCAGGACAACGCCATTTACAACCTGCTGCCAGACATCATCAGCCGATTATCTGATCCTGAACGTGGAATGAAGGAGGAGGACTTCAACACCATTATGAAGTGAGATATGATTTATGCTGCGGTTGCAGTTTAACTTATTCTGCAGGACAAGCCATAAGTCACTTCTATTTAACTTTCTCTTTCAGACAACTCTTCTCCTACATCACTAAAGAGAGACAGACAGAGAGTTTAGTGGAGAAGCTCTGCCAGCGATTCAGAACCGCAAAGTGGGTATCGGACACAATTTGTTTTTCATTGGGCTACACAGTCTCCCAATGGAAACAGTGCTCTAAAAACGTCTTTCCCGTTCATCACCAAAACTAAAAGGTTTAACCTGGTTTTGGAAGATTTTTCTACTTCAAGCAAGTCCAAAGATGCAATTCTCCAAAATCAAATTTAAAAAAAGGGCAATGAGAGCTTTTCGTGGTGCACGGGAAAACATTACTAGAGCAACATTTATGAGACTGGGCTCCTTTATGACAGATGAGCAGGTCTCCGTCTCTCATGTGACATCTCCCCTGTTTTCTCTGCAGGACTGAGCGTCAGTGGGCAGATCTGGCCATCTCTCTGTCCTTGTTGTCACTGTGCGAGCGAGGTTTCAAAAAGCTGCAAGAGTGCTGGGACTGTTACAGTGATAAACTTGCTGAGCCTGGAGTCTATCAGCCCCTCCTGTCCATTGCAGCCAAACTCCGTCGACGAGCCAAACCACAGTTTAAGGTACTACATTTCTGTATGTGTGGCTAGAAAACAGCGTATTGTGTACAAGTGTGCGCACACAGCACTGATCAAGACTTGGTGACTGTTTATGCTAGTGTGTTGAAAGTAGCTGTGTTTGTTTAGGCGCAGGTTGAAGACTACGAGAAGCGCTTGACGGCTGTTCACACTAAAGGGCTGGAGAATGTGGAGAGCGAGGAGAGAGAACAGCAGATTGGAGACACACAAAGTCAAAACCTAAAAACGCCACAGAAGAGCGTGCGCAAAACCACACGAGGTGAAGAGATCGAGCAGATCAGACCTCAGAAAGAATTCTATTATATAAATTCATCTTGTGTATCTCTGTATCCTTCAGGACGTAGTAAACCGAAGTTAGATGACAGCGACCTTGTAACCCCAAGAAAATCTCGCTCTCGTCCCAAACCTACCATCACCTTTACCAGTGATGAAGAAGAGGAAGAAGGTCAGTCACTTTCACATGATTATCAATTTTAGTTCTCATTTATTCCATGTTAATTGTGCAGTAAAGTGCTTTAACATGCTTCATTTTGATTTTTTTCAGATGCTGTTATGGCTGAGAGTGAGAGGCCTAAAGTGACGACACCCATCGCCCGCACGCGACGCACTCGTCTCAGACACTGAGCACTCTTTTTCCAGTATTTCCCGTATTTTTTATTTATTTATTTTTAATACCTCTATTAATAGTATTAATAGTAATTTGGTTTTAGAAAGATGAGGTCTGTGACTGTCATTTATAAATGTTTAATGTTTTAGTTGCCATCAATATGGTATGTGTTTTTATTTTTTAATTAAACGTTTTTAAACCAGGAAAGTAATGGCTGTTTTTATGTTGTTGCATATAAATGTATGTCTTGTACTCGAATGTATCATTTCTTTTTTTTTTCTTTTTTTTTTCTAAGTTGCATTGAAAATGTCAGTTTTCACACATTTAGGATTTGAGCATGAAGTTTTACATGCTTCTCAACTAGAGTAAAATCCATGAATGAGCATGTAATGTCGAAATTGAAGGAAAGTCACTTTTACGTCCAGTCCAGTTCATCTGTTTTAGCTGAAAGTGTTTAGACACGTGACTTTAGTTTTGTAGGCGGTCATTCCTGCTACGCTGAAGAGATTTAGTGTGTTTTCGCGAAGCTGGACTGTGTGGCTGGGCAGCTTATATCGCGTCTGTATGTTCTGCAGTGCTTGCGTTTTTCTTTCATAGAATGCCGTTTCATTTTTAGAAGTTTGTTGCAACGAACTGGAAAACAACGATTAAAGGGCCTGACTCCGAAAATGAGATACTGGTCCGTGTGAAAATTTCAGCTGCGTGTCATTAATGTAGCGTGAGACAAACGACCTCAGTTGCTTTAGTTTATAACGTCGCGTCCACAGTTAAAAGACTTACTATGAATGTATATGTGCTTCGAAAAAGCTTTTTCAACCACTGTCTGAAAATCTCCAAGAAAAATGAAGTGCATGAAGGAGGTCAGTGGCTGCAAATGTGCAGATCCAAAACATATGCACCAAAAAACTTCTGCGATTATGAGAGCATGAGGCGGACTTACAACATACGAGTTCCTCAGCGGTTTAATTTCGCCAAGGACGTGCTGGAGCAGTGGGAAACAAAAGAAAAGGTCATTTAAGAAAATGCTCTGCTTCTGATGTTGTTCTAATATGTTTGTCCCTTGTTCCATTTTACTGTAAACTGAATACATTTTACGTTAACGTCCGGTTAATATTTTGACTGGATGGATAATACTTTTGAATAATTCCTAAACAAACAAATGTAAAATCCTGAGCAGATGAGCCGATACTGTACATTCAAGTGTAAAAACATTTCAAGACATTGGAAAAACTTTGAGGCTGTTCTCTTCTCTATCAAGATGGGGGAGTGTTTGGAAACCCCTTTGTCATTATTATATATTCATTCATGCAGTACTTTTTGAATTTGCATGTGTCATGTATGCAAAAAATATGATAAAATAATAATAGTAATAATATTGGAAGTAAGGAGCTAAATAAAGTACTTTTGACATTGGTATTACCATACAATTTCTGTAAATAAAAGTGAAACCATCTAATACCACAAAACATGACAGGTCCATTACTAGTAATTATTAGGTGCCTTTTTCCCTTCTTGGAGCATAATGCCAATAAGCAACTGGCTTTTATTAGTTCACTCAAAAAAAAAATATATATATTTTTTTGTCTTCATTTATGAAACCTTATGTCATTCCAAACCTGTATGTATTTTATTTTATTTTTTAAATAAAAGGGATATTAGATGGGAATAATAACAGGTATGCCATTTTGCTTGGTGACTAGTGCAGCAGAAATATACTAATCTACTGATCTGTGTAATATTATATAATGTTTGTGGAGACTGGTATTATCCCAGTCTTCTTAGTTCATTTTAATGCCATACAGTTATTTCACAATGCCAACACTTGTGAAATTGTTCAGTGTATTGTTGTTGTATATTACAGAACGGACAGAGGTCGTCTCTTCCAGCTCTGTGGTGGGTGAATGACGGCGGGGAGGAGGTCAGATGGAGTTTTGAGGAGTTGGGCTTCCACTCCAGAAGACTTGCAAATGTTCTGCATCAGGAGTGCAGTTTGGAGAGAGGGGATCGTGTGTTCCTCATCTTACCCAGAGTCCCTGAGTGGTGGCTGGTTAACGTGGCATGTCTCCGAACAGGTACAGTCCCACAGTCCTGCTCAAATATGTTTTCAGGAATTCAGGATTCATTCACCCTTAGTTCTGTTTCCCTTTCTGGTGATTAATTCTTAGTTAAACTTTAATCTACTTTTACTGATTCACACTTCTGTTGAAACAATAATACTAGCTTCAAGTTGAAGTGTGTAATTGTAAAATGTTAACAAACATTCTCTAACAGATATGCTGAAAGTTATTTTCATGTTATGACTGATAACCCATAGTTGGCAGATATTTAAATTCCGTACTATTTGGTCTAAATCAATAAAAACACACACACTCACAGTGGTTCCTCTTTAAATGCCCCGTTTCCTTGCACAGGTACGGTTCTGATCCCCGGCACGTCTCAGCTCACTGCTCGAGATATCTGCCACCGGCTGCAGACGTCTGGGGCCAAGTGTGTGATCACAGATGAAACTTTGGCTCCACTGTTGGACACAGTAGCTTCAGACTGCCCTTCCATCTCCACCAAGCTTCTGCTGTCCCACAGGGCCATGCACGGCTGGGGCAACCTGACCGAACTCATGGGGTGTGTGTGTACAGGCAGTACTGTAATTTACTGAAGAAATGACTGAGTGCATTCCTTAAAAGTATATACAAAATTACAAATTGGTGATCTATTTAAGATCAGATGTTGTGTTTGTGCTGTAGAAAAGTGTCAGATGATCATGTTTGCATGGACACCAGGAGTGAGGAGGCCATGACTATCTTCTTCACCAGTGGCACAACCGGCTCTCCAAAAATGACCCAACACAGCCACTGTAGTTACGGTCTGGGGCTCTCGGTGAACGGCAGGTTTGTAACATTCTGAAAGTTAAATGATGTGAAAAGTGATACGTGTTAAGTAGGTATAGATGCATTAAAAGTTATGTATATATGTAAAAATGTACCCAGTGGACAGTTTGAGATCAGTAAGATTATTTTTTATTTTATTTATACTTTTATTCAGCTAGGCCACATTAAATTGATCAAAAGTATGGGTAAAGACATTTATAATGTCAAAATATTCCTATTTCAAATAAATGCTGTTCTTTTGAAATTTCTATTCATCAAATCATCCTAAAAAAGGTATTTTGGTTTCCACAAAAAATGTTGATAATAGTAAATGTTTCTTGAGCATCAAATTAGCATATTAGAATGATTTCTGAAGGATCATGAGACACTGAAGACACTGAAAATTCAGCGTTGCATCATGGGAATAAATTACATTTTAAAATAAATTAAAATAGAAAGCAGTTGTTTTAAATTGTAATATTTCACAATATTGCTGTCTTTCCTGTATTTGAATCAAATAAATGTAATGTGTTTATTTGTGTGTGTGAATTCTTAAGGTACTGGCTGGATCTGACCGAGCAGGATGTGTTTTGGAACACGTCGGACACAGGTTGGGCCAAGTCTGCATGGAGCAGTGTGTTTGCGCCATGGATCCAGGGAGCGTGTGTGTTTGTTCACCACATGCCACGTTTTGATACAAGTACAGTCCTCAAGGTACAGGAACATCACTGGTCCATTCTTGACTGGAATGTTCTGCTTGATTCTTGATTCTTTAAAAAATGTCCCTAACAAAGCTGTATGAAAGTGTTTTATGGAAAAGCCAAAAATTATAACACATAATCTAACTTCATAAGGTTTGTTGATTTTTGCTGTTTGTTGAACAGTACACATTCTGGTAACACTCGTATTTTTCTCCTGACAAGACTCTGAGCAGCTATCCCATCACCACCTTCTGCACGGCACCAACAGCCTATCGAATGCTTGTACAGGACGACATATCCAGGTACTTACTGTAACAGGTGCACTGTGATGTGTTTGTATTTAAATTAATTCACTTTTAGCTCTATCTTTACAAGGCTTCATTTATGATTATTGGTTTTTATATATACTGTCAGCAGAAGTTTGTTTTTAATGGCAGGTAAGTTGCAAGTTTTTAACTGAATTGGTTAGTAAATGACTGAGAATCTTGACCTGGATGTTGTAATGATCACAGCAGAATGAGACCGATTCATCTGGTCCAGGTCTAGTCCTCATCTTTGTCTGTGGTTTTTGACAGGTTTACGTTCAGGGCTCTTGAGCACTGTCTGTGTGCAGGAGAGCCCATTAACCCAGAGGTGATGTGGAAATGGAAAGAACTCACTGGACTGGACATCTATGAGGGATACGGACAGACTGAGACTGTAAATAAACATTTAAAGGAATAGTTCACACATTTGAAAATTTTCTTAACATTTTCTCACCCTCAGGCCATCCAAGATGTAAAAGAGTTTGTTTCTTAATTAGAAAAGTGTGGAGAAATTTAGCCTTGCATCTCTTGCTCACCAATGGATCCTCTGCTGTGAATGGGTGACGCTTTGATAGAGCATCCAGCCGTAGCAGAATCTGCTGTGGTCAGCAGCCCTGATCCAGTTCGAGGAGAGGTAGGCAATGCATTCTGGGATTGCCATCTCCATGAAGGATACATGCAGGGTGGTGACCTTAGAATTAGGCAAAAATTACATAACTTCGAAGACCAGAATTATCTGTAGAGTGCTTATGATGCATTTAAATGGTGTTTAAGTATGCAGCGCAAAAGATTTTGTATGTAGTTGATATAAAATTGTAACTAAGATTATCATATGTAATACAAAACTGTTTATTCCAAATTATAATTATATATTTTTTTTTTAATTGTGCTGCTCCATGTTTCAGGTGGTGAAGGCTTTTGTTGTGCTCACAGCAGATTATAAATCAAGAGACCATAAGGAACTGATCCAGGAACTGCAAACACATGTGAAGACTGTGACGGCTCCTTATAAATATCCACGCAAGGTGACTCGCGATTAAAATTCAGTACTTCCACATTTAATCCTTAACTGGAGATCTTTTCAATTTAGTCCATTTTAAAGGAATATTTTGTTCCAGCTTTTAAATGTTTAACTCATTTTATTTTTTTTTTGTCAGATTGAGTTTGTGGATCATCTTCCCAAGACAGTAAGCGGCAAAATCAGGCGAGTGGAGTTAAGAAAGAAGGAATGGGGACAGCAAACAAGCAAACAAATCTGGAAATGAGAAAACAAATTTCTGGACAAATCACATTCCACCTTTTTATATACAACATTCCCAGATGTCTTCCCACTTTAATGCACCACATTTAAGGATCTACACACCCGTAGTCCTTCAGCTCACCTGCAGGTGGAGGCATTTCATAACAATCAAGTTGCAGAACTCATTTCTAATTTCATGCATCAAACATTTTATATGATTCTACCTCATGTTTAATCATGTTTAAGTGGAGTAACTCAAAATTTATAAGCCTTGCAGTTCAAATGCGTTTTATTCTTTTCATATTAAATTGTAGATCATATTCTGCATATGCAAAACCTAAATGTGAATTAATTTGTATTTATATAATTAAAAGCCTATTTTTTGAGTAAGTAATAAAAGCATTTTTGGGTGACTATATGTCAGATAAAACTTGTTTATAATCTCTTCTAAACACCGTGATCCTTTTTTCCTCAAGAGCATGGTCATGTGACTGATGACAGATGGCAGACACAAATCTGATCTGTGCTGAATGATGAGAGGATTGTGAGGTTATAAAGATTTCTGAATTTACCCTACAGAAAGGAATGAGGAATGCAGTGATTTTTCAGATGACAAATCTGTTAGTAAATTAGTCTTGACTACTAATGGAGAAAAACAGATGACCTGTAGCTTGTCAAAAATAATAACAATGTGACAACTTTTGAAAAATGAAAGGCTAGATTTTATTTTCACACTGCCAAAACTTTAACCAAGCTGTAAATTTCCCTCTCGTTATTCAAGGACCATAGAGGGTGAAATTTTTGTGGTGCGGCACACTCACTGACTGCAGTAATGAGACAGGTGCTGTTTAATTGACCTGTTAATGGGTCTTATGCTTATCAGGTGGAAAAACAGCCATAGACTTAAGCCAAAATATGCCAGACCTCAGCCATTTAAACTGCTTCATGGCATGTCATTAAATCAGACTGTAGATGTTTGTTATGACAGCCTGAAGGATGTCGGCCTGAAAACACAGCTTGTTTGTGTATGCAGAGATGTGTTTGTGGATCAATCTGTCGGTTTTGGTTTGCAGCGAGTAATTTGAATAGCTCAAACTGCTAACAGACTGTCAAAACCTGAGCTGCTTACCTGTCCTTACAAAAAAGTACTGTGGCTGTACCATACCAAATACCATAGAAGTGTGATATACAGTGGGTTTAGTGAGAATCATTTTTCATACACGTTAAGCTGAAGTAAGTCTTTATGGGGGGCACCTGTTGTTGTGATTTGTCAGCATGACTTTAACTCAGCCTGACATGTGCTGCTATTATCTGCAGCTCCGTCTCTGTCTTTCTCTGTCTGATACATTTGATCTCTCTCTGGAGTCAGGCAGGAGTACCAGCCGTGGTCTGGAGCCCGGCCGTCAAAGCCTGCCCACAAACGGCCCACCTTCCTGGGTAAAGGTGCTGACAAGCCCCCACCGGAGACTAGCTACCAGGCAGCTTTCAGCCTGGACACACACAGACACACGGAGGCCGGCGTACCGGAGACCAGCACACACACGCAGACAGAGAGAGCACACTCACACAGGACAGACATCAGCATGAAACCAGAGGTGAGTGAGACAACAGATCAGAAGAGAAAGAGATCAAATCAGACAGCGAGCTGACAGAAAGATCAACAGAGAGCAAAATTTGAAACCAGATTCTGCAGAATAAGAATGAACTGGCTTTGATATAATCCGCAGGAGACCAATATGTAAAAACAAGTATAGTCTATCAAATTTTATCATAAGGACATATATCAACATTTTTATAACGAAAAGTTCACCCTAAAAGAATACATATGATATAGGTATTATTTATATAAATGGGTATATATTTATATAAAAAGTTTGTATTAAATATATATATATGTATGTAGTCATTTTTTTCACATTTTGTTTCATTCATTTTGTTGGTTGTTTCAAACTTCTTCCATTAAGGGTTAAGGGTGTGAATACTTATGCAATGGAATCATTTAAGTTTTTTATTTTTAATAAATTTGCAAAGATGTTAAAAACCTGTTTTTTGCTTTGCCATTATGGTGTATGGAGTGTAGAATGATGTGGGAAAAAAGTAATTTAAAGCAGTTTAACATAAGGCAGCAACATAACAAAATGTGAAAAAAATGAAGGGGTATGAATAATTTCGCAAGGCACTGTATATATATATATGTTTATTTTTTCTCGGAATCATTACTCCAGTCTTCAGTGTCACATGATCCTTCAGAAATCATTCTGATATGCCGATTTGCTGTTCAATAAACATTTATTATTATTATTATCAATATTTTAAACAGTCGAGTACATTGTTTTCAGGATTCTTTGATGAACTGAAAGATTATAGATTATACAAAATTATAGATATTAATACTTTTATTTAGCAAAGATGCTTTAAATTGATCAAAAGTGATGATAAAGACATGTATAATGTTACAAAAGATTTCTATTTCAGATAAATGCTGTCCTTCTGAACTTTCTATTCATCAAAGAAACCTGAAAAAAATTCTAATAATAATAATAAATGTTTTTTGAGCAGAAAATCAGAATATTGGAATGATTTCTGAAGGATCATGTGACTGGAGTAATGATGCTAAAAAAATCAGCTTTGAAATCACAGGAATAAATTACATTTTAAAATATAGTAAATATTTAAAAATAAAATAGTAAAAATATTTTACAATTTTTTACTGTACTTTAAATCAAATAAATGCAGGCTTAGTGAACAGAAGAGACTTCTTTAAAAAGCAAAAAATCATACTGTTTCGACCGGTTGTGCACATATAAAGAGTGTGTATGAAATGGGTATATATATGTACTGAAATGTTCAAATATTTGTTATATTTATATATCTGTACTAAAATAACAAAATATAAAATAAACAATTAAAGCATTAGTACAGAAAATATGCATACTAAATATTTAAAAAAACATTTAAATAAGTGTATGATTATACAATAAATGTGTTCAATTGTAATACTCTTAAAAATCCCAAACATTCATAAGCATAAAATGGAAGCCTATGGGGCGAAAGTATATGATGGATTTAGCAGAAATATGCAGATTTCATAGTAGTGAAAGCATATCCATGAATTATTCATGTTTGAGCTGTAAAGCTAACAAAATCAACCTTTTGAAGTGGGTTTACCTTTATAGCTAGTGACATTTTTGGCCAACTTTTGGGCTGATAGTTAAAGCTGTAGTTAAAGTTGAATTAAAGTTGTATTTAGGTAAGCAGGAATATTGATTTGCGTAACCTTTTAGGTTAATCTGTGAAATCAAGCCTAATATGCAATTAAATCACATTGGTTATTTAACACTGATACCTTTCTGGGACAAATGGGAGTTTTAGGTCTGGTAAAAGTTGTGCTCTATGTATCGACTAGCGCGGATTCATTGGGGTTATGTAATCAGTGACCCGCTCCTGTGCCCCGTTACGTCAATGTAGTCTGTGCCCGTCTTCTCAATAAGAATCAAAACTAACTGTGAAACTGGTGCTGCATCTTTTGCACGTCAGTCAGTGAAGTATGCACTAATTGGGATTCATTTAGTCCTAATTACTAACCCATGCATGCTGTCAAACCTCATGCTTGACCAGTGAGGAGAGAAAGTGACGGCTGAAACACACAATGCCAGCGGTCTGAGGCAGAGTTGGCGAGAGTTTTGTGCCTCTGGTGTCAGGCTTAAATGCCTCTGTTATTGAGCTGTAACTTTTCTTTTCATAACCTTTGCACTGCTCCATTTGTCAAATTGTCAGACAGATCCACTAGTCTGGTGTTTTCAGATGAGGGTTGTACAGATGCTTTGGGCATGGCCAGAGCCCACGGGACATCCTTTGATTTTTTTTTTTTCTATGGCATTGTGTGCCAAATCAAATATATTAATATAATATATATGTATTTTTTGTTAAACTTTTTTATTTATTCATTTGATTTTGAATTGAAATGTAAAAAACGTGTGTATTTGATTCAAAATCATTTTAAAATGTAAAAAAATATTTTTACATTTTTTTGTTAAATTATTTAAAACATTTTAAGATTTAATATATTTTATTATAATATAGTTGGATATATTGCAGCATTTACTTTTGGCCCATAGCCCTCAATCAAGTTTGGCCCTTCGTATTAAGACGTTTGGGCAACTCTGCTTTATGATTATAGAGATTTTAACAGATATGATTGATAATGCTGAACATACAGCTTTTGGCATATTAGTGGAGAACCAGGCATGAGGGACTATTTTTCTGCTAAATAATTTTTATTTTAAGTAATCAGTCTATATCTGTGAGGCTGATTTTGTGGGTTTAAATTGTGTGTGTGTGTGTGTGTGTGTACTGGACAGTCCTTTGCACTGGAGACTTGCGTGACTAAGCCAGCTGGCATTATTTTGTCTGTCCCAAGGGTTTAACTCACTCACAACCCATCCTGCCCTCCTGATCTCCCTCCAGCTGATGCTTTGAATTTCATTTTAAAAGGCAGACTGACTAAACACTTGTTTGGGAGATAAAACCAGCCGATCATTCTTAATTAAGTGGTCATTTTTTCATTTGACCTCTTCTGTAAAGACCATCAATTCAGTACAAGCTCAATGAAACCAAGAAAACATGAGCTTACACTGTTTGCTATTGGTCAGTTCATTTAATAGAGCAGAGGTGCCCAAACATTTTAATATGACGGGACCAAAATGTAAATTGTTTGAGGGCTGTGGGCCAAAATTACGTGTTGCATTATATATATTAACTATATTATATTAAAATGTATTACATTGTATTATTTTTATTTTTTTTTTGCTTTGCTGATGAACTGATAAGTTGGATCAGTGTTAGATAAAACAATTCCAAATGCATGTTTACAGATCAAACCTGCACAAGTATCATAGTGAATAAATCTCAGGGTTTCATAAGTTATAATAACCTTAAATGACAGTTAAACATCTTATATAAGCTTTAAAGTTGCTGCCCAGACAGTTTCCCATACGCCAGCACTCTGTCCCAATGATGGTCAGCAGCCTATGACATATGATACGACAGAGGACAAACGAGGCCATGTTGAGAATGGATTATTACTGTACAGTAAGCTGCATTAAAATAAATATTTGAATGGTAGTGTATATACTAGTGCTGTGCAAAAGTCTTAAAAAAAAATTATTTCAGAAATAATTATTGCATGTTTGAAGTTTCTTCAAAGCCAAATTTGCATATTATACATAAAGCATTTAAAGCATTAGCATGTTAGAATGCCATTCTGAATACCTGAGGTATGAACACTGTCTGCTTCTGCTGTTAGTGAGTCTGTGAGGCAGAGGGTGTCGATTTCTTATTCTAGAAACACTAAACAGTGTGTGCGAAAAAGATTCAGTAGATGATAAATCACATTTTCACCCCAGCACTTGGCTTCTCACATAGCAAGCTTTTTTTCTCCCCTACAGTAAGGATTAGATGTCTTCTACCCAGGAGAAGGAGACAGTCTGAGAGAGAGAGAGACAGAAAACCGACAAAGATAGATGGAGATTATATACTATAATATGAGACTTGAACAAGTACATCCTAAATCATAGGCATTTGAAACAGTATGCTAAAAGTGCCCAAATGGATACTATTTCCAGTGAGGTTTGAAGTCCCATGTGCCACAGAAGACATCGGGAGTGTTACATGACCTAGTGCTTCTTTTTCAGCTTCTTACATTTTAGATGAAAACTGTAAATTGGGGTTGGACTTTTACATTGTTACAAAGGATATCCATTTTAAATGAACTAGTATTTTTAACAGAAATATGTTTTATATGACAGGAGCAGAAGACTAAGCTGTCACCAAACCCATCTGCCGTCTTTCAAAGCAAATCTAGGATCTTCAACATATGATCATCAACATCAACGCTCCGCACATAAAGATCCACATTCACGTCTGATTCAGCCTTTCACTAGAAGAGGAGACCATTTTAAAGAACTGTCGAGAGACACCTGAATGTTGAGAAACGAGTTATTCTGAGAGACTAGGATCGTCAGAGGAGAAGAATGCCTGCGGATGAATTGAGTTCAATGCAACTGAAAAAGCTTGTGAAAAGCAAAACCAATAAAATGGGATTCTCTAAATCATTCCACTGAGGAAATTACAGAACCAGAGGAAGTTTGCTGGAAATTTACACAAAGTAAAATCTATGCAAGAGAATGTATGCTTCAAATGTCAACCATCTACTAGAAGGATTTGTTTGTAATACAGGTTTAAGAGTGATGGAAAGTGTGTGTGTGAGACATAAAAATGGTTGACTGGGAAAGTTTTCAGGCCTCAATTTCTGCTGACCTTACCCTGTCCCAGCTGAATGAATATCTGCATGTTTCATAATCGTTTTATGAATTAACTGAATATGCAGCATTTCAAAAAGGAACAAAATGTAATCTGGTAACTCTGTGTCTGGGTGTGTGTGTGTCCTGTACAAGCCTAGTTAATGACATGCTTTTGTATATAGTGATGTTGGTCTGCCTTTATTGATCTGTTAATGTCTGCCTGAGGACGCCAGGTGCTTCTAATCGCCATTTTCTCGCTCCAGACCCTGCTAGCCCTTTATGAACCCATATAAAGACTAGAACATTATGAATCTTTCACTTTCACTGAATTGGAGGCTGTCCAAGTTTTTGTAAATTTGGTTTAGACATAAATGGGCAAAATACTTCAACTGTTTAAATAAAAATGACATTCTTTAAATATGTTTCCACGTTATTTGACTGAGAGCTGAATAATATACAAATTATATTGAATGGTTGTGTTAAAAAAAAAAGGGGGTTTTAGTAGGTTTTAGTCCAATGTATGGAATCCCGTTTCCGCCACTGAATAAAAAAGGTAATTGCGACTTTTTATCTCACAATTCAGACTTTTTTTTCTCGCAATTGCAAGTTTACATCTCAGAATTGAAGATTCTGGCTTTTTTCTCAGAATTGCGAGATATAAAGTCAGAATTGTGGGATATAAACTCGCAATTGCGAGAAATAAAGTCAGAGTTTATATCCCACAATTATTTTTTTCTTGCAATTGTGAATTTGTATCTCGCAATTATGACTTTTTTTTCTCAGAATTGCGAGTTATAAAGTCCAGTTCTAAGGAGAAAAAAAGACTGATATGTTCTCAGAATTGCGCAATATAACTCGCAATTGTGAGTATATCACGCAATTCTGAGAAAAAAAAGTCAGAATTGGCCGTTTATATCTCACAATTCTGATTTCATTTCTCACAATTGCGAGTTTACATCTCACAATTCTGAGAAAAAAAGTCAGAATTGGCCGTTTATATATCACAATTCTGATTTCATTTCTCACAATTGCGAGTTTACATCTCACAATTCTGAGAAAAAAAGTCAGAATTGGCCGTTTATATATCACAATTCTGATTTCATTTCTCACAATTGCGAGTTTACATCTCACAATTCTGAGAAAAAAAGTCAGAATTGCGAGTTTGTATCAGGCAATTGTGAGATGTAAACTCATAATTGTGAGAAAAAAAGTCCGAATTGTGAGATAAAAAGTCTTTATTTTAAGTTTTAAAATAAAGTATTAAAAAGTTTTCGTTTTTATTCAGTGGCGGAAACGGGCTCCCATACCAATGTGTATAACATTAACAAGTATTTACAGCAAAATGAAAATCATCTCCTGGTCAAAATGACCGGAAGACAAACAGAAATATCTTCAGCACAAAAAAATTTACTTTTTTAATTAACCAATTAAGCAAAACTTAATTCTGAGTGCTTGAAATTTTATCCTGTTATTGTTTTGCTATGTGACATTCAGTGTTGGGCAGTAACGCATTACTTATAATGCGTTACTGTAATTTGATTACTTTTTTAGTAACGGAGTAATTTAGAAAAAAGTAACGTAACTAGTAATGTAACTAATTACTAATTACTTTTGAAATAAAGTAATCAGAACAGTAACGTGATTACTTTAAAAAGGAGTAATCAGTAATCTGATTACATTTTCAGAGTAACTTGCCCAACACTGACATTTCAGTTGTATTGGCAGTTGGAAAAAGAATAGAACAAATTAGCACAGCTGGATACATCTTTGTGGTAGATTGACCATTTTTAATACAAGAATAGCTTTTTTTGAAACACAATGTGAAGGAAAAACATTCAGGAGTTCAGTTAGACAAGTGAAGACTTTAACACTGAATTAACACACAGCAACACATTCTCTCCCATCCACACAAACACACCAGAAGAAGTTTCTTGATGTGTTTAAACCGATGCTAGCTGTATGACACAAAGTAGCCCACCAAACCAGAGGACACAAAAGACAGCTTGTTTTAGCAAATACACAAATGCCTCCTGTCTATCTGCACATTTTTTTCTCAATGCCCCCAAATGACAGAAACGGTACAAAAAAGAAATAAAACTTGCACACTCACTGCTGTTCAATCCTTCATATATCCCACAGCTGTACGAAAATGACTCATATTCATATGAAAACAACACAATTAAGACTTTTCTTAGACATTCTTTGCCCTAGTGAAGACGTGCAACTCAAAATGGACATTTAATCTCCACCCAAAGTTCTCATATAAGTCCATGATTTCATATAAAACTAATCAGCTTCTCCAAATAAATCCTGCTCGATAATGACATTTCAGAACAGAAAAACAGTACGGTTAATTGTTCAGTGGCTCATTTAATGTCTGCACTTCTGATTAAAGAAATGCCTAAAACTGAAGTTCTGTCATCATTTACCCAACACCATTATAAACAACATGAGGGTGAGTAAATTATTTTGGGTGAACTATTCCTATAAGACTAACAAAAGCTCTGTCAATGGCAAAGCAGGTTAATGTGATCCGGGGTTTCATTAGCAGAGATTTGAGTGTCCCAGTAAAGAAGTAGAATAATAGAATAATGTCTACTGTACCTGCTCATTAACACTGTACTTGTACTGTTACATATACTGGACCAGAGTTCATAAATATCACAGAATTCATAAAGGAAACATGAAAAACGAATAAATAGAGTGATGTAGCCATACGCAACAAATGCTGTTCAGGTGGCGTATGAAGCTCTGTTTGGGTTCAGTACCCTCATAGATAACACACAGCTGTTGTCGTAATAATGGCTTACTTCTATTATGACAACGGCAAGTAAGAGGGCATTTGCACCTGTGATTGGCCAGCCCTTGCACATTCTCCACCTTTACAGAATGTGAGGGGGAGGAGTCTATGTATGACAGCCCACCTGTCTGTTTGTAGTCAGATGCCAAGGAGTGAAGTTAGTCAGCGTGGCTTTCATCCTTCACCATGATGCCCATGTACCTACCAAAGACAGAGTTTATGGCAAAGTTTAAAATAAACAAAACTGCAATAGTAATGATGATACAGGGTTCCCACACATTTTGACCAAAGGCATTTGAAAAGTTGTTTAAGATTTTTAAAGAAGAAATTGTAAAAATCGTATTATAGAAATTGCACCAATAAAGGGGTATTTAGAGCCAATGAAATGTTTAAATTCTGAGCATAATTATTTACTAGAGACATTTCAATTTGTATTTATATTTATTTTTTACATTTTAGATTTATTTTTTAAAATAATTTTATTTATAGAAACTGCACTGATAAAAGGCAATTCAAAGCAAATGAAACATTTAATATTGAGCATAACTTTACTAGAGACATTTCCATGTCTATTTATATTTAATTGATTTATTTTTGTTTAGTTTTATTTCATTGTTTCCAAATGTTTCCAGGTTGTTCAATGACCATGGGAACCCTGATGATAGATGCTGAAAAGCCTAAAATTAGGATGAGCAAAATGACCTATTAGTCAGAAAATCACAGGTGGGAATAGAGCTAATGGCCTGATGCACATCCATAGCCGATATCTCTCTCGGAGTTCTGTGGAGACAAGAAGAGAGGAATGAAACGAGGATGGGAAAGAGAGAGAAATCTCACGGTACATTTGCTATCTTGGTATAATGGGTTATTGACCTTTGAGCATTAATTGAGAGGTCTGTGAGTCTTGTCAAACTGCTGCTTTCTTTTAATGTATGAGACTTCGCTCAGTTCCTGCTTGACTGATCATCATTTAAAGCGGTGCTCTGTAAAAGGCAGTTACCGAATACTGTATAAAAGGCTGATGAAATATTCTGCTCAATCTGTGAGTGTGGGCATGTGAATGAAAGCAGATGTGCTGAATAAGTAGAGCAGCACTGAGCCAATCTCTTCTCTCTCAGGGTCGGGCTCTGCTGCTCTACCACTCAAATAAATCAGATTTCATGAGCTATTCTCAGTGCTCTGATAATTATATACTATCATAAAGCAATTCCTCTCACAATCAAATCACATTAGACAAAGTTCAATGCTCAAGAGTTCTTCAAAATTGACCATGAAGTAATGTAGCAAGCTCTATCTGAAAAGAGCAGAAGCGCGTTGGAAACTACTCTTTACTCTGAATCGTGCTGGTCTGCCCATCTGTCCTGATTAATCTTGTACTGGCATTCGGGTGGATGCACTGACCTGTGTTGTTGGGATTTCCCATAGGCATTGGCCAAAGACTCCCTGAGGATTTCACTGGCAAACTGCTCCACAGCCTATTGAGAGTTTTAGACAACGTTCAGCACTTTGACATGTTAAGAAATGCATTATCTATTGTAACCATGTCATACCCAGGACAAAAAAAAAAAAAAACTTTTCTCACAAAAAGTAAATTAATTAACATATTTGATGCTTAATAAACAGCTAAGTGGACTGAAATTTAAGACCAATGAGATAAGAGTTGGAGATGCTACCATTTACCATAGAACAAAAGGTTAGTTAATAGTGCAAAGGCCTGTTCACACCATGAACTGTAACTATAATGATGACTACATTAGGGTATTAAAACTTTATAGTTGTCATTCATGATGTGAACAGCTCTATTAAGTAAAATTTTCTCTCATAAAATAAAACTAATTACTCTTACAACACTTACCTTAAGAATCATGGTCTCCACGACTGGAGCAAAAACATTCTTCTCCACCTCCACCTGCTGCAGTGTGACGCCGATCTAACACACACACACACACACAATATCATTACATGTATGACACAGCAGAAAGTCTGGATACAGGTAGGCAGACAGACAGAAAGAACATTTCAGTCTCACTCACCTGCTCCGCCGTGTCTCTGATGACCTGGGTTGATGGGCAGCGCCCCAAGAAGAACTTGGGTTCCTGTTCGGCCTCTTCCTGTTCCAGTTTGATTTTGACCTTGGCAGCATCTATGTCTTTCACACTGATGATGTCAAGAAGCTTATCATCCTCCTCATCAGGCTCCGCCTTCAGAATCCTCTGAAGTTGCTCCAGACGTTGTGACAGCTCCTCACAGCCTGTCAGAGTCGAGCTGCACTCTAACACACACACACACACACACACACACACACACAAACAGTGTCAGTGTCAATGTAAATGTCTTACTGTAAAACAGCAACAACTCACAAGCAGGAAGCAGAGCTACACAAACCAACTGAAAACTAATAATACTCTTGATCTACACTATGGCTCTGTTCCCATTTCCAAACATTATTATCATCATCCTCATCATCATTATTAATAATAACAAATAGTTTGTATTTTGCCTAATAATTATTAGAATTAGAATTAGTTACTATTACTACTTACACATAACTACTGAAGAACATTTACGCCCCTGATTCTAACACAGCCTTATCCATGAAAGTTGCATGAATCAATGTCTTAAAATGCTCTCTAGGTAGGAAGCTCAGTAGGGATTGAAGCAGAGCTGATGTTGAATTTCAGCTGCTTATGCCCAAGTTGAATTCATGCCCAAGTCTGAATACTTATCATCTCATCATTACACAAGCTAATGCACCATCACTGGAAACTACAGAGAGGGAGAGATAGAGATAGAGAGAGAGAGAGCGAACACTACTGCATTGTCTGTGCCAAGTCTTGTGTAAGTCAAAGTTCTGGATAACTGAGACACAGGCCATGATAAATTAACCTCAACCAAGGGTTCAAAACACACACACAAGCATGTGTGCCGTTACATAAACTACACACCCACCAGGTTCACTGTCGATCTGTGTGAGTATGTCCTCGATGGAGTCCTCCTCTATGCGCTGAGGTTCAGGGTCAGGGGGCGTGTAACCACGAAGACGGCACCAGCGGAGCACCTCTTTAGTTCTGGGTGGAGTGAGGGCCTGAAGCCGAGGGGTCCTCTCTAACAGATCAGCACACACACGGCGCACAGCCACTGCTCGCTGCAACTACACAGAGAGAAAGAAAGAAAATAAACGAACACAATCCAGCAGAGCTTACAGATGCACTCAGACTATATGAAACAAGCACTCCTGTACCTCTGCAGCTCTGCGTTTGCCAATGTTCCATGAGTAGTACTGATCCACAGAGGTGGCACAGAAAGGATGAGAGTCCTCATCTGTGAAGAACACACCAACTTTGATTGGTTTGGACTAGTGTAAATTGACTCTTTTTATTCAGACTAAATGACTGGAGACAATCAATTGTTTCAAAATTGATAATAACAAATGTTTCTTGAGTACCAAATCAGCCTATTAGAGTGATTTCTGAAGGATCATGTGACTGGAGTAATGGCTGCTAGAAATTCAGCTTTGCCATCACAGGGATAAAATACATTTTAAAATATATTAAAATAGAAAACAGTTATTTTAATTGACGATTCACAATATTACTGTTTTTACAGTATTTGTGATCAAATAAATGCCTCTGTGAGCGTAAGTGACTTCAAATATCAAAATATTTATTTTTTTCTCCGACCCAAAACTTTTAATTTAGAAAATGCTAACTATGAAACTATGTCAAACTTACTTTTCTCAGGGACAATCAGAGGGAATTTCTTCACGATGGCCGTCAGAAGTTGTGTCATGTTCTCTATGTGCTCCGTACTAAGAGAGATTGACAATTTTTAAAAAATATGTACACAACAAATTAGGGCTGTCACGATATTAGATTTTTCACACCACGGTTATTGTGGCCAAAAGAATTCACCATATCGATATATCGCGATATATATATAGAAACCTTGAGGAATCAGCCAAATAAATTTTCACTGTGTTTATTTAGATTTTCTTTTTACCCAATGAACATAAGGATACTGATAAACACAGGGCACATGCATTTTCACTTCTTCAGGTCACAGCTGACCTGAGACTCTGGCTTTCTCTGTTTTCTCTCTTGTTATTTCATAGGGAGCTTCAAAGAAGACACTGTCAAGTTCAACAGTATGATGAATAAATATTAACATCAAAACTGATAGTTTAACCTGTTAACTTGCGTACCCGTATTTAAAATTATGCCGGCGGCAATGAAGTCATGCAGTTAACGCGCTTCTAATTCAGTATTAATGTGCGTCTAGAACGGACGCAGATGAGGCATTAAGTGCATTGCACTGCGGCCAACTAAACATTTTACAGAGTTTAATGTAGCAATGTGGTCGCTCAGTTTTTCAATCGTGTAATAGATTTGAACAAAGAAATCAAGCAGCTACGCACATAACTGGTATCAATTGATATCATGTACATGTATCAGGTCACTTAATTTCCAGCGATATCATCGACTTGATTACACAGATACTATTTAAACTGAACTGAGCTGGATGATGACATCACTAAATTCAATAATAAACTGCCTTTAACTGAAAATTGCGTTTACTATTGTCATTTTGCATTATTAACACACTATTTTCCTAATTAATGCTGTACAGTTGCTTTTACACAATCTGTATTGTTAAAAGCGCTATATAAATAAAGGTGACTTGACATGAATTGGCCATGACTTGATTGCAAACACAAAAATTAGACGAGTAAAGTAAAAGCGGTACTTATTAAAAGAATCACCCCTTTATTTAAATATATGAACACAGGAAACCACTGATAACGGGTTAATCACCCCTTTATTTAAATATATGAACACAGGAAACCGCTGATAATGGGTTAATGTAACGTTAACCATTCCATGACTTGTAAAATAATGGTAACTTACAGTCTGTATAATATTGAACATGGTTCTTCTCGGAGTATGCGTCGTCTCCATGTTTGAAAGGTGTCAGCGTTAAGGCACAATACTGCCACCTGGGAGGTCAACCAGGTACTGGCGCTGGAGTAGGCTATTTGCCTGTCGTGTTATCATAAGTGTCCTATTCATTTTAATTATTGTGGTTATCGCCAATACCGGTATATCGTCACACCCTAAATTAACACGATGTCAATATTTCATGATTTGAATATCATGGTTATCGTCAATACCGGTATATCGCGACACCCCTACAACAAATATTACAAGCTTTCAACATATTAGCATACATTTGAATTTCCGTCACTGATATTGAGCAGCTAATAATACAAATCCAACACATCTTTGTAGTAACGAGAGTGTCCATGTTGTTTTCACATTCCGACTTAAAAGCACTACTCGGGAAATGAGAGCATCCGAGGAGCGCATGAATGCCGTAATTACACTTGCTCTGACGGCAGCAGGTAGCCTTCCGTTAACTAAGCTAAACAAGCTTCAATTAAAATGCATAAAGCTAAACTTCCCTTGTATTCACATTTCTAAACCTGTTGCAGGTTCTGATAAAGCAAAAACACTGCTTTATCAGACATTACATGCTAGATTAAATGAAAATAACATCCAATTTTCTGAAGACAGTGGGTTTCCTTCAGAAATACAGTGATATAAAAACACCCGCACTCAATGTATGGGAAACACTGTAGTCTCATAATTGAAGTGTAAATTCTGCAGATTACATCATTGTCCAGTATTGTACT